TTCATACTTCTCTCGTACGTGCATATATCATGAACACACCAGCGTGCACAATCACGCGACCAGGCGGGCCACGAGTGAAGCTCGCTCGCCAAGGGCCGCGGTCGACAGCACAACTCCAGAGTCGGCACCGCGAGAACGCACAAGCAACATACTCGTATAGCTTAAAACACACATCACTGAGCCCGTTTTGCTGTCGCCACCTACGGTGGGCAAATCGGCTTTTTGGGCTCTGCCTTGCGCTTGACATCAGCTTTCTCCTCAAATATGCGCATCAAACCCTTCGGGATGAGACTGCTCTCCTTGGAGCTGAGGTTGCTGAGGTGGATCTTGATGTTCCTCTTGAGCTTCAGCGGGGTGTCGGCGAAGTCCCTGCAGCACACGAGCATGAGACACTCAGCCTGGGTCACCTTGGCACGGCCAAGCTTGGTAGCGATGTCTTCCACCGCAGCGTGGCGGCCCTCGTCCTTGTCGCCGTGGAGATCGCGGCTGTTCTTGGCCGCCGCAAGCTTCACCGACACCACATCAATCGCAGTCTTGAGCGCCGAGGGCCGACAGATCTTGAAGATGCTCTCCTTGGCCTTCTCCAAGTACTGGTCGAGGGTCGTGGCGTCATTGAGGCCGTCGTGCCACAAGCCCTCATCGACGCCCGTGGTGATGGAGTGCGAGAAGTGTTTCTCGCATGCCTGCAGGGCGTCTTCGACCTGATAGTTGCAATCAAATGTGGCCACCTCCAAGGCCAACTCTTGCACCTGCGCGTGCCAACGAGTGAAGAAGTCCAGCTTGATCTTTGCACTCGCCTGGGTGGCCCTCCAATCGCGGCCGCCCTGTCGCCGACGCGCGCGACCTTGCCCCCACCTGCCCCTCCGCAGAGGCCAGCTGTTTGAGTGAACAGGAGGGGTGAGGGCGAGAGGAGGCGAGGAAAGTTGGAAGTGGATGGAGAGCGAGGGAGAGCAGGGGAAAAAGGGAGGGGAGGGAAGGAGGGAGAAGGGAGGGGAGAGGAGGGGAGGGGAGAACGTCGAGAGGGGTGGTTGGGATGTTGCGGAAGGGAAGGGGGAGGCACAGCCGCGCGCATCAGTTATAGGGCAGCCGCAAGATCGGTGCCAGTGGGCCTCAGTCATGGCCGCACTCGCGGCAACGAATTGGCCGAGCTCCGACGTGCCCTTGCTGCGCTGCCACATGGCCTCCGCCGTGGCTCCGTGCTTCTTGAAGCCCACGACCGCCACGAGGTCCCACTGGATGTTGGACAACTCGGTCAGGCATACTTTGAACTGCACCATCTGCTCTGACAAATCCCCCTTCAAAGCGATGAGATCGAGACCAAGATCGCACACCAACCGAATGTATTCGAGCACGGCCTGAATCATATTCATGTCCTCGCCACTC